CTTAAATTATTACAAATGCAAATATAATATCATTTATATTTAACACAGAAATAAGGAAACAATTAAACATGTTTGAAATATATTAAATAAACTAAAGTAAAAATTATCTTTTAACATAAAATATTTCATTATTAAAGTAAGGAAATATTTAATGAAATATTTAATAATTTCATTAACTTTTCGTTCTTGTTTGTCAGATCTACTTGAAAAATTACGAATTAAGAAATTTTATTTAATATCACATGCAAATATATACTATTTTTTACTTGAATATTGTATTATCTGAGCACAGTGAACGCGTGCCTAGAGATATGTATATAAAAATATCATTCCTTTTTTCCTTCAATGTTTTTTTCACAACTTTAACAGTTTAGATAATTTTTTTGATACTTTTTTCCCCCTCACTATTATTCAGCTATTTCCTTCAATCATTCTTATCAAGAATTTTGCAAGATAATGCAACTAATAACATTTTCTGCGTTTCACCCATTATTTTGTCGTAACTCCGACTTTACTTTACTCGTTTACTGTTTTAACAATAACAGCTGCTCATTTTATAATACTCTAGAAACAGACGTAACTTCAAAAAATACACATTTAACAAAGCAAGTGCTTTTAAAAGAAATATGAAATCTATTAATATCTTGCAAACTGACTGTTGACTATACTTTATCTTAAAAGTAATTATCCTAAAATTAGTAATACACTTATGCTACATTTTCTAACACTTTTTGTTCTACATTAATATTAACGAAGTTATCTGCAAATATTGCAAAATTGTTTAATTTGTAATCGTAATAGAATATAATTGTTTATGAAACTTAAAGAAGTAATATCGATGAATATTGTAAAGTTTAAAATAATAACAATATAGTGAAAAAGTTAATGTCAATGAAAAATATTTTCTACCACAGCTTTCATTAGATATCATTCAAAATGTTTTACAAGCATCAATCTTCGCGCATATCTTCGATCTTCAAATATTAAAATGCTACCAAACTTTCTATCATATCACTATACATGTAATAATCTATCTACTTTAAGGTCATCTAAAACTGGTAACAGTCTAAACTTTCAAGATATCACTCGTACACCAAAGTAACACGTACAATAACTTCTTAGCAAACTACATACAACTAAACTGCGGATTTTTACGTATTTATGGAAAATTTGAAGGCACAAATATACACAGAATATATATAATAAGCAAACATATACAGCTAAACCCAAAATATAGCACTCGTTATAATACTCAATGATTAAAACAATTGCCTATCTAGCTTTTATTTTTTCAATTATATTCATAAACACAAAAATTTGCATAAAAATCCACAATCTACGAAAAATGTCTTTTGTATTTTTCAATCAGACTCTCGCTTAATTATTAAAAAAGATTCCATCATACTGGACAACAATAACAGACAAACAAATTAACAGAAAATAAAAAACTTATCGAAATTAATACTAATTTCGTACAACGTTGTTACAATATTTACATGGATACGTTGACCTAATGTTAACATTAATATTTAAATAATTATCGAGCTTTATTTAAACGCACTAATCGAACGATTCAAATAACTTCAACGTGCACCGATTATTCGAATAATTCGCATGAACTTAATTCAAATTTATCCCCTAAAATTTAATTCGTTCCGCAAACATGAATTAAACCCGAACAATTTCTTTTTTTTTTTTAATAGGTACGAGTGGAGAGTGCGGACGATCACGACAGAACGCGCGAATTTGTCTGGAAGAGATCGTCGCACATTGCTCATTTAGTCTCGGAGAAATTATCGTCGGCGACAAAGTCGATGCTTCGACCTCCACCTGTTGTAAACACCGCCGCTTAAATATTCATCTCGATCACACACCGTTCGTTTCAATGAAATCACCCAAGAGTACCGCAAAAGTGGACTTTTCTTCTTTTTGTTTTTTTTTTTTCTAATTCATTTCAATCGCGAGAATACTTGCTGTTTGCTTCGTGGATTCGAATCAAGAGAATTCGACGCACGACGAGAAATTTTCATATTTGAGTAGTATAATTTTTGATTTAGGATGTCTCGATTCGAATTATTAAGAATGTTAAAAAATATTGAGAATATTTAACAAACGCTATTCAAATATCAAGCATCGCATCTGAAACACTCGATCAACTTTTTCACCGTCCCAATGTATGTAAATATCAAATATAGTTCGTAGATATCATGCTTTTTGTGCTGTTTAGGTCATTTGTCGTATTCAATATACGTAACAGTTTTGTTAATTAAAGAGCGACATTCTTCGATTCGATATTTATGTAAAATAGAATTCGTCGATATTTGTTTATATAAATCGAATACATCTATTCTATTTTATATTAATATAACACATTCTACTTTGAAATGTAATGTTTAAGCTGGAAATTTAATATTACAATGTTTAAATTTCCAATTTCTATCGCAAGCACCGATTTATTTATTTCGTTTTCTTTTTTTTTTTTGTGCGAATATTTGCATATTTAATGCTGACAAAACTGGGGATTTAAGAGTCAACAAATGGCAAGCTGTTTGTCTTCCCTTTTACTCGAAAGAGAATTCTGTTAATGGCGTACACTGCATCTGTAAAAAGAAAAAGGAAAGATAATCAGATTGAACGACGTGTATTTTCATTATAGAACAACATCCGTTAATTTATTTATTTATTTATTTATTTATGATAATTTTCACCGGTAATTTGCAAAGTTTGCAAAATCTTCGAACTGCGATGTCGATGTAATCTGCATTCGAACTATCATTTCCTGTCAGCCAATACTGAAAACAAATGAGCTTACCATTTACGAAATATTCATTGTAGAATGGATAAGTCAATTTTTTATATTGTTTTATTGCTATCCTATCAATATTTATATATCAATAAACTATTTTAAATACAACAGACTAATGTATTTAAACGTGAACATTTTCCTACTGATTTTCGTCATTTATTTTGTAATATTGACAATACGGTTAAAGAAAGGAAATTCTGTAGGAGATTATTTCTTAGCAATAACCTCACGGTAATCATTTTACTGAAGTAAATCTACCTTTAGAATGAAAGGTACAATTTAATGATAAAAAACTATTTTTACAAATAATTAATAATAAATCTATAAGAACAAATTTAATTTTTACTTTTAAGATTGATTAATTAACTGCTAAGAAAATTTCGTTGAAATTTTCAGCATGTATAATTGACATAAAACTACAAAACGTATATCTTATATTTTCACTACAAACTCAGATAAAATAGTTGTAAAAACTGACCTTTAGAATTTTCTTCGCAATTCTCACAAATTGCGATGTTTACAAATTTGTTTATACACGTCATCTAGTAAACTAATCCTTCTAACTTCTCAAAAAAATTCAAGTCGTTTGGTCCAATTTTAAAAAAGTTATACTATTCTAAAGAGTGGCCGGATATTAATGAGAGCGACTGTAATCAATTGAGGATTC